CCTTTTGAAGCCAGCGTCCATTCCCAAACATTACCAACAGAGCACAACACTGGCACCTGAGCAGACACTGACTCCTATGCTCCACAAAGGAACCAAAAGGGCACTTTCTACAGAGAAAGGGAACTCTCCCTTCCCTATGCCAGGAATTAAACACAGAGTATCTTTAGTTGGCTTTCCTCAGATCCTCTGGATCACATCTGGACTCACCTAAAGCAACAGGGTCGCTGCTGAGACCGGGAGTAGCTACAATGATCTGATCCAGCGACTCCTTGTTCCCTAGCATTTTGAAGACCTGCCAGAGACATCGCAACAGATCAGCGGCACTGCACAGTGAGGTTCCACTGTGAGACTCTCTTCACAGAGGAGGGACAGACAGAAAGACACCCAGACAGCACACTACGAAGCCCCACTCACTGCATCTCTGTAGGCAGGACTGCTGTGCAGGGCAGTATGAAGGACCCGGAACTCCCGTACTGCTGCCACCTTATCCACAGGCTCTGCGGGAGGAAAAGCAACAGAACAAAACATGTTTCTCCCTCTGTCAGCATTACTAGCCATTTTACACACCACTGGGACTTCCACGCCGCAGTAGCGGCGGTGATTCTTTAATACCCCTGGATTGAGTTAAGCCAGAGAGGAAGGGCACAGACTAATGATTGCAAGTGTCTCAGTACAGTTGCCACAGCATAACAAGTGACTGCACTCTCGGCTTCCAGACATATAAAAATATACAGATATATCCTCTTACATGTAACAAAAGGAGCTGTATTCAAGCAACAACTCTAAACTAACTCATTCTGCACTCAGGCAGACAAAGAACACACACAAGCCTGCTCATCCCTTGAGCTGAGAAACCAGTTGCTTTGTTCCTGATTCTCTGGCAACACCCTAAAATTGATTATAGTCAATTAAAGAATTCACGCTCCACATTACATAGGTCATTCCTTAACTCTCCCATCAGCAAGAAAACATAACACCCATCTGCTGCTGTTAGAGGTGGAGAGTTCCCACACAAACATATTGATTAACTCCTCCTCCAAACCCCACAGCAGCCTCCCAGAAACAAATCACAAGAGCAGCTGTTCCTCAGTCACAAGAGACCCACATTCAAACACATCCCGGGGGAGATCTAAGCCGTATCCCACACTGTCTCCTTCTCACCTGGTTTCTGATCAGGCTCAGGCCAGGACTTGCGCAGGACATGAACAGTGGAGCCAGACTGGATGCCATAAAAATCAAGTGTCTGGTCATCCCTCAGCTTACGGCCACAGTAGATCAGATCTAGGAGAGAGAAATATCTAAAGATAAATGCCTATGGCACACTCAGAGAGAGCCTAGGGTCTTTAAGCGAGGACTGCTGGGGGGTTATTGCTCCACATCTGTAGCTGCTTCATCTGGTCAGCAGCACAGGGACTCCGTAACACAGGGACGTTATGGAGCTGGGATTCAGGGAGGAAATCACAGAGCTGAGATTCACAGAATGTGACATTGCCACTTCCTTTCGAAGAGCCGACACCTCTCTCAAAGTTCTCATAAGAGATCCTACAGAGGGTGGCAGGAGGGACAGGTAGCCTGGGAGGAACACAGAGAAACTGTCCAAAAAGCCAGGGATCAGGTTAGGAAAGCCAAAGCTCTGATAGAATTAAATCTGGCCAGGGATGTCAAGGGCAACAAAAAAAGCTTTTGCAGGTACACCAGTGATAAAAGGAAGCCTAGGGAAAATGTGGGCCCTCTCTGGAAGGAAAAGGGAGACCTGGTTACCCAGGACATGGAGAAGGCTGAGGTATCCAATGACTTTTTTGCCTCGCTCTTCACCAGCAAGGGCTCCAGCCACACCACCCAAGAGACAGAAGGCAAAGGCAGGGAACTGGGAGAATGAAGAACCACCCACTGTAGGAGAAGATCAGGTTCAAGACCATCTCGGGAACCTGAAGGTGCACAAGTCCATGGGACCTGATGAGATGCATCCGTGGGTCCTGAGGGAACTGGGGGATGAAGTGACTAAGCGACTCTCCACCATATTTGAGAAGTTGTGGCAGCCCAGTGAAGTTCCCGCTGACTGGAAAAGGGGGAACATAACCCCCATTTTTAAATAGGTAAAAAAAGAAGACCCAGGCAACTACAGGCCAGTCAGTCTCACCTCTGTGCCCATTAAGATTATGGAACGGATCCTCCTGGAAACTAGGCTAGGGCACATGGAAAATAAGGAGGTGACTGGTGACAGCCAACATGGCTTCACTAAGGGCAAATTGTGCCTGACAAATTTGGTGGCCTTCTATGGTGGGTGACAGCACTGGTGGACAAGGAAAGAGCAAGTGACATCATCTAGCTGGGCTTGTGCAAAGCTTTTAACACTGTCCTGCACAACATCCTTGTCTCTAAATTGTAGAGACATGGATTTGAGAGCTGGACCACTCGATGGGTAAGGAACTGGCTCAACAGTCGCACTCCAAGAGTTGCGGTCAATGGCTCAACGTCCAAGTGGAGAGCAGTGCCGAGTGCCGTTCCTCAGGGGTCAGGGCTGGGCCTGGCCCTGTTCAACATCTTTGTCGGCGACACGGACAGTGGGATCGATGCACCCACACAAGTTCACCGACAGCACCGAGCTGTGGGGGGGGGGACGCGCGGGAGGGCAGGGATGGCATCCCGAGGGACCTGGGCAGGCTGGAGAGGGGGGCCCGGGCAAACCTCCTGGGGTTCAACAAGGCCAAGGGCAAGGTCCTGCCCGGGGGTCGGGGCAATCCCCAGCACAAATCCAGGCTGGGCGAGGAGTGGCTGGAGAGCAGCCCCAAGGAGAGGGACTGGGGGGGTTGGTGGGGGGAAAACTGCCCGTGAGCCAGCACCGTGAGCTCACAGCCCAGAACCCACCCGTGCCCTGGGCTGCAGCCAGAGCAGGGGGGGCAGCAGGGCCAGGGAGGGGATTCTCCCCCTCTGCTCCGCTCTGGGGAGACCCCCCTGCAGTGCTGGGGCCAGCTCGGGGGCCCCCAACAGCAGAAGGACCCAGAGCTGCTCGAGCGGGGCCAGAGGAGGCCACGAAGGTGCTGGGGGGGCTGGAGCAGCTCCCCTGGGAGGCCGGGCTGAGGGAGTTGGGGGGGTTCAGCCTGGAGAAGAGAAGGCTCCGGGGAGCCCTTCGAGCGGCCTCCCAGGGCTTAAAGGGGGGACAGGAAAGGTGGGGAGGGACTCTGGGTCAGGGGGGTGGGGATGGGATGAGGGGTAATGGTTATAAACAGAAAGAGGGGAGATTTAGATGAGTCCTAAGTCAGAAATTGTTCCCTGTGCGGGGGGTGAGGCGCTGGCCCAGGGTGCCCAGAGCAGCTGTGGCTGCCCCCTCCCTGGAAGGGTTCAAGGCCAGGTTGGACGGGGCTGGGAGCCCCCTGGGCTGGGGGAAGGTGTCCCTGCCCGGGGCAGGGGGTGGGACTGGGTGATCTTTAAGTTCCCTACCAACACAATCCGTTGTGTCATTCTGCGACCTCACCAGGACACACTGGTGTTAACAAGTGAAAAGATTTTTTAACAAGGGCACCGACGCCGCAGGAGCACTGTGATCCCAGGCAAACACAGAATAAGCTATCCAAGTGACAAGGTGCTAAGACCACTGCAGCACAGCAGAGTCTCTGGAGCACGCTCTGAGCCCCCACACCACGCTGCCTGGTTGTGCCACAGCTCCCCACCAGCCCAACACCACTAGCAGAAGGGTGCTCGTGTCCCGGCCGCCGGGAGCGGAGGGAGAGGGTGTCCTCAAGCGGCAGGACTGTGTCACGACCCACGCAGGCACCTACCGATGAGCTCAGGGTCGGGGACGGACTCCTGCAGTTTGCCGGTGATGAGCTGCTTGAGGTACGAGATGCTGCACCCCCCGAGCGGGCACTCTCCCAGCTCCGTCTCCGGCAAACGCAAGATGGATTTGGGAGCCAGCGGCTGATCCGCCAGCTTCACCGCGATGTGCCACTCCGGCAGCGACATCCCAGCCTCCTCTCGGAGCGGAGCCAAGCCAACCGAAGACCCGCTAAAGCTCTGGAAAAGAAGGGAAACAAACCGAAGTGAGAATTTCCGCCAACCAGACGAACACCTGATGAGCCCACAGGCCTCGCCCGTGCTGGTAGGCACGCAAGAAACTAACAGGAGGCCTAGATAACACACGGCCGCGCTTTTTAGGTTCCCACCTGAGCCTTAAGTCGTACCTGAAGCTACGGGAAGACCCCCGCCAGCCTCGACCCCCGCCCGAGGAAGAGAAGCCAAGCGCAGCCCCCGGCCCCGCGGCGCGGCGGAAGCGCGGGACGGCCGCGCGGTGCACGCTGGGAAATGGAGTCCGCCAGAGAGGACAGCTGGACGGCGCTAGGCGGCGCCCAGGGGAGGATGCTGTCGATTGGCCGGCCCTGCGGTGACGAATGCGGGACGGGCCAATAGGCAGCCGGCGGAGGGTTTAAAAGCAGAAGCGCGGGGGGGAGGAGGAAGGCGGGCACTCGGCGGGGCGGTGAGGGGCTGGGAAGGGCGGATTGCCTCGCAATTAATGGCGCGGCCTTAATTAGTCGCCAGCCTTCCCCGTGGAAGAGGAGCTCCTGGAGACAACCCCCAGAGCAGGAGGGAGCAGCTTCCCCAAGCCTAGCAAGCTTCAGCCCTAGCTGCTGCTCCCAAAAAAGGAGAGGCAGCTGCGCTCCCCCCATCACCCAAACCTGTGCCAAGGCACCAACTTTTTCGGACTAGAAGTGCCGTTTGAGTTCTAAAAAAAGCCAAGTTGCCATGAAAGTCCAGAAGGGCTGCAAGAGCCACATACCAGTCAAGCTTTCCTCCCTAGCAGTTCTTAAAATGGTCCACACAGCTCAAGGCAGCTTTAAAAGGTGCCACAACATAATTTGTTGAGTGTTTACCCCCAATTTTGTTTTCGAAGTTTTAAGCAGGCAGCTACAGACCAAGTTTGAGTCCAAAACCTATGTATTGCACAGTAATTCTTTCTAGCATGGAGAGCCTGCCCTGAAAGAAAGCAAAATAACCTCGTACAGTTTCTAGGCTTAAGAAGTTTATTTATTTTCCTACAAAGGCATTAGTTGTGACAAACCTAAAGGTGACAAAACTAACTTTAGTGTCATCCTATCAGTGTTACACAGGAAAAGTGAACAACCCTCCGGCTACTCCCAGGCCCCCAAGAGCCACGAGGAGGAGGAGGAGCAGCTAGCCAGCCACAGAACTACAGCCTAACGGGCCATTAAACCGCACATCTCACTACTGGGTACCTCAACAAATTAGTTAAAACATAAAATAAGTAACAGTCGAACGATTCTGGTCCAACGGGGAAGGAGGTTGCCCCGGCGAGGACGGCCCTCGGGTGACTGCCAGCAGTCCCTCTAGAAGCACTTGCGATGGACGATGGAGGGGCCAGACTCATCGTACTCCTGCTTGCTGATCCACATCTGCTGGAAGGTGGAGAGAGACGCCAGGATGGAGCCGCCGATCCAGACGGAGTATTTGCGCTCTGGCGGGGCGATGATCTTGATCTTCATGGTGCTGGGAGCCAGGGCCGTGATTTCCTTCTGCATCCTGTCAGCGATGCCAGGGTACATGGTGGTGCCGCCAGACAGCACGGTGTTGGCGTACAGGTCCTTCCGGATGTCCACGTCGCACTTCATGATGGAGTTGAAGGTGGTCTCGTGGATGCCGCAGGACTCCATGCCCAGGAAGGAAGGCTGGAATATGGCCTCAGGGCATCGGAAACGCTCGTTCCCGATGGTGATCACCTGCCCATCGGGCAGCTCATAGCTCTTCTCCAGGGAGGAGGACGATGCAGCTGTGGCCATCTCCTGCTCAAAGTCCAGAGCAACGTAGCAGAGCTTCTCCTTGATGTCCCTCACGATCTCCCTCTCAGCTGTGGTGGTGAAGCTGTAGCCCCGCTCCGTGAGGATCTTCATGAGGTAGTCGGTCAGGTCACGGCCGGCCAAGTCGAGACGCAGGATAGCGTGGGGCAGTGCGTAGCCTTCATAGATGGGCACGGTGTGGGTGACACCGTCCCCAGAGTCCATCACAATGCCGGTGGTGCGGCCAGAGGCATAGAGGGACAGCACAGCCTGGATGGCTACGTACATAGCTGGGGTGTTGAAGGTCTCGAACATGATCTGGGTCATCTTCTCCCGGTTGGCTTTGGGGTTCAGGGGGGCCTCAGTGAGCAGGACAGGGTGCTCCTCCGGGGCGACGCGCAGCTCGTTGTAGAAGGTGTGGTGCCAGATCTTCTCCATGTCATCCCAGTTGGTCACGATGCCGTGCTCAATGGGGTACTTCAGAGTGAGGATGCCTCTCTTGCTCTGGGCCTCATCCCCCACATAGCTGTCCTTCTGCCCCATGCCCACCATGACACCCTGGTGTCGGGGACGGCCCACAATGGAGGGAAACACAGCACGGGGGGCATCGTCTCCCGCAAAGCCTGCCTTGCACATGCCAGAGCCATTGTCCACAACAAGGGCAGCGATCTCCTCGTCCGCCATGCTGACCAGGCCTGAGGTGAGGAGGGACAGGGAGGTGTCACCGTGTCCCTCCTCAGAGGGAACAGAGCAGGAACATCAAGGAACCCCAATACTTGCCCCATCCACTATGGGCCTGAAAGGATTTATTACACTAGGGAGCCCCAAGAGCAGTGCTGAGGGATCTAAGGTAAGAAGGGGTGGTGAGGAGGCATAAAAGCTTGTGCTACAGAGCCCTCAGGGCCTGAGTGGAGACACCAGAGAGCCAAAATACTTACTTATTCCCTCCAGAATACTTATATATATATATATATATATATGCGTCCCCTAAAATGACAAGAACAGACCCCTCCCACTTCCTCCCCAAAAACCTGCGGGGAACAGCAGGGATGCCCCAACACAGACTCCCACAAGCGCTATCACCACAGACCTGAGGAAATAAAAAAAAACCTGACGTAAACCTCCTCCTCGCCTTCCTCTCCGGGGCCGGAAGGGACAACGGGGCTCGGTAAGCCCGCCCGGGAAACGCGAGAGAACGGAGGGAAGCGGGGCAGAAGCAGCCGCCATGACACTCACCTGGGCACACCGCCTCAGCAACTGCTGGTCCCCGCCCCGAGCGCACTCTTTTATCCTACCGGAACCGGAAGCCGCCTCTCACCTCGATGTTTCATTGGCTCCCGGCAGCCACCCGGCCCCGCCCCTTCCCCCCTCCCTCCGCCGCTTCCGGATGCGGGGCCGGGCCGCGCTCGCTCTTCCGTTGTCGGGGCCGCACCCGGAAGTGGGGCGGGCGCTTCCGTTGCTGGGCGCCGCCTCCGCCGCCCCGTTTCCGGCTGGGCTGAGGAGGGGCGGCGCGGGTGTCTGGGGGGGGAGGGGGGGGCAAAGGAGAGGAGGAAAAAAAAAAAAAAAAAAAAAAAAACGGGAAAAGAAGAGGCTGTGTCGCGGGCGGAGCCGAGGCGGCCGCGCACGGGCCGGCAGCGACCCGCTCCCGGAGCCTGCGGGAGGTAACGGCCCCGTTCGCCCCGGTGGGGAGTTGGGGGGGGGGGGGGGGACGGGGGAGGAGGTGAAGGGCAGGGGCAGCTGAGGAGGGAGGGGGCGATACCGGGGGAAACGGTGGGGGGGGGTGGGGAGCGGTGCCGTTGCTGCATTGGCGGCCGGTACCGAAGCGGGTGGGGGGGGGTGGGTGGGCTGGACCTCACCGGGTGTTTGGGCGGGTGGGACCGGTTTGTGGGTCGGGGGAGCGGGGCTGGGCGCCGGGTACAGCCGCCTTTCCCCGGGTAGGTCCCGGGGGGGGGGCGGGATTATGGGGTATGGGAGGTCTCCGGTAAAACCGGGAACAAGGCGGGAGGGCGGGGGGAAAGGCTTGATGGAGTTGTTTACCACCCCGGGAGCCCTCTCCCCTCCCCGGGGCTGGGAGGCAGGCTGCCCTCGGCTGCTCATCTCACGCTTTAACTCTTTCAGGTGGTTTCCACTTGGAAAAAGCTCTTTCCAAGCGCTGTCGGCGCGGAGGCAAGCATTTTCCCGATTATGTTGGAAATAGAGCGAGTTAAAAAGTCAAATCAAGGGGAGTTTTTTTAAATTAAAGCGCTCTCCCAGGGATTAAAAACTACACACAAAGGCTGGTGCGTGAGGACTTGAAGGTTAAACTGAATCCTTTCACTGCCTTGTTTGGGAGAGATACAAAAAGTAAGCAGATATTCCTGCTGAGGGGTGAAGTGGACGTTAAAACCTGGAGTGGTTTAATGTTCTCAGTCTAGACTTAAACTCTGCCTTGATATTGCGACTTAATTATTTGCTGTGAGCAGCGCATCTCCTTGTTGACTTAAAACGGGCTGTAAAGTTGGCTGCCCCTCCACAATAACGTGGATACTTGCTGAGGGCGTGTTTGCTGTATCCAAAAGTCATCTTTTTGGAGGCTGGTGAGGTTTGGGCCGGGCCCTGATTGAAAACCCTCTGCAGCTGCGCGTAAATCCTGCTGTAACCTGTCACAGGCTATTGTACCTGAACTCCGGGAAGTACGCGCGGGGTGTCGCATACCAGGGTGTTGCTGCACCTGAGGTGTGTTTGCTCGGCGTGTTAACCGAGTATCAGGTCATTTATTATCGGTAACGCACCCGGGGTGTGTATTAACCGCACGCCCTGCTGCGTATCCCCCAGGCAGGAGAGGTGACACCTCTCCGCGCCTCAGGTGCAACAATATACAGCAAGGTGTGGGCTGTAGGTTCTCTAGTCTGTTTTTTTGTTGCTGTTGCAACACCCGCACCGGTTCATTGTTGCTTTACTGGAGGAGCGTGTGTGTGGAGCTAGGCCAGATGGTGTATTGTGCTTTCCGAACAGTCTGAGTCTCTTTTCAGCTGCCAGGTAATGCATTATTGCTCCTGACATTCAAACCACTAATCCACTTTATATTGTTTCATTTGCAAGCTAAAGCTATGCCGCTGCCTGCTAGATAAAAATGCAAATGAACCGGCCGGGCTTTTCATTTTGGTGATGGGCTGTTACTTAGCACGGGGAAGAGTTTGCAGAGGCAAAATGAGTTGGCTTGCAGGCACTTTGTAGGAGAGACGCAGTCTGACCACCTTAGAGGAAGACTTGGAGTTGCGCTAGGGATGCTGGAAGTTGTCTTTCACATTTAAAACTGGTATCTGGTAGGTTATTTGTTGTTTTAGGACAGAACTGTGTCTGTTTGGAAATATCACGTTAGCAAAATAGTCTCTTTTTTCAAGTATGTGGCTTGAATAGCACAGTGCTGGTTGTAAACACCGGTGGTGGGAGGTGGCCAGGAGACTCTGTAGCTTGTTTTGTAGTTGGCCTTTCCTTTGTTTCTCCAGGCTGACTGTATTTTGATATCAGTGAACCTTGAAGGGCAGCAAGTGAGATCTGTTTAAGCATCTTTTTACATTAAAAAAGAGCTGAGAAGGACCATCTTTGTCAGCAGTTCCAGTTTGTGACACAAAGTCCAAAATACACATGCTGATTTTAATGGTTGGGGATTAAAGGTGTAGTTATCTTCCTAGGATTTACTGTAGATCGGAGCTGTGTTTCCGACTGTGGTCTGTTCTGTTGGTCTTTGCTCAAGAGGAGGCTAGTGCTGGCTCAGCGTGGGCTTGCTGCACATCAAAATGGAGAGCTAGGAAAGCTCTTGGTTCCTTCGACTGGGAAAAATCGAAGGGAGGCTGTGGCTGGGGCTTGAGATGTAATGGCAACTCTGGGAACCAGAGGCAGGAGTTGCTTGGTGCTCAGCAGTTTGTTTTGGGCTACAGTGGTCTTTGCTTTACTTGTCTCACCCCCCTGGGGAAAAATAATGGCTAATATAGGGGTATTTTTTTTTAAGAAAGCCATATAAAGTCTAAAGAATTTAGTAATGTAATGAAAGCATAAAAGAATTTAGAGGTAACTGCTGTGTGATAAATTCCTGACTGTTTTTTAATAGAAATATGGTGAAGCTTATCATCCCGGCTATCTCCTTTTAAGGTAGTATTTTCAAAAGCACCAAACCCTAGATGTTAAAGCTAACATTTCAAAAGTAATTATTTAGGAAGCATGACAAAAAAATTAACTGCTGGGACAGTGGAGAAAGGCATTTCAGATGCTGTCTTTGGGGTATATGAAACTGAGGTTATAGCGAATGTGTTCAGCTTGAAAATACAATTAAACAGTCTGAAAATTGAATGCAAGTTTGAGCCTGAGGCTGTTAAACATGAAGCTGATTGTTTCACGGTCTCCTGCACAGGAAAGAGTATTGGCTTTGCACTCTATTTATCCTCTTCCTGGGGAAAAGATGAAAGCATTTTATATTCATACGGACAAATATTTGTCTATCTTTCAGATTCTGCCAATCTCCCAAGGTCGGGGCTTGAACCCTGCCAGATAAAGTCAAAAACGCCCCCCTCTTTTCCCAGCCATGCAAACTGCGGGATGAAGCTGGAAGCTGTGGTCGAGCAGCTGCAGAAGCAGCAGCAGAAGCAGCAAACGCCTCTGCAGATGGATTCCAGGGAGAGACAGCAGAGGCAGATGAGAGAAGCCCAGCTGCTCTACACTCAGCAGCTGGCCGTGCAGCAGGCTGTCCTAGCAGCCACATCTGGCAGGGCTTCAGGGGGCTCTGCTGTTGGTCCCTTGGCCAGAGGCCCACCTGCAGCCGGAGCTACGCGGGCTTTTGATCAGAGCAGCATGAATTCGGAGCCAGAAGAGGAGGAGGAGGAGGATGAAGAGGAGGAGGAAGAGGAGGAGGAGGAGGAAGAAGGGGGTTTGGAAGGTGGCGATCTTGAGGATGGCGCTGACGTGACTGGAAAACAAACCTGCTCTGCTCTGAAATATTTTCATGCTCCCAAAGTTGCCCATCACAACCAAAGAGTGGCCTCTACCTCTAATCCTCTTCCAGCTTCGGGGCACCCGCGGGGGCAGCAAGGCAAAGAAGAACAGGGTAAAGACACTACTAAGCAACCGTATTGTGGTTCCCCATCTGGACGCCAGAACTGGCGGTTGGACGAGCAGCTCAAACAGGTCAGTGTTTTTAACGTTACTTCCTTCTGAATGACCACAGGCAGTCAGCTCGAGGATTTCTTTAGCCCAGTGTCCTGTTACAAGCGCTGGCTGTTTGCAAGGGCGTTGGAAAGAGTGCAGGGACCGGGCACGTGCAGAGCGATGCTTCCCTGGTGTACTCTTCCAGGCTTATTCTTTTATAAAGAGATTTCACAAGAACTTGATTTGCTGTACAGATACAGATTTCCAGCTAACAATACAGAAACCCCGATCGGTCAGAGCCTTTGTGGGGAGGTAGAGGTTTGATCTTTGGCTCGTTTATCTTCTACCTCGCTGCTGCTGTGCCGTTCAGAATGGAACAGGCTGGTGTTATGTTTATTTTTGGTGGAGACACTTGCCTGCTAATGTCTCACTCAAGTTATTTCACGTACGACTTCTATAACCTCTTTGTGTAAGACCCTGGGATGCAGAGACTTTGGTTTTCTGGTTAGTGGTGTGGGCAGGCAGGGAAGAGTGCGTGTCCTGCCGCTGATCCTGTGAGCAAGCAGAGCCACTTTATATTTCATGTGTGGGAAGGAAGGAGCTCACTTGCTACTGCTTGGGTTCCGTAGGAGGTTAATTCTATGTTTGAATGATGAATTAGTACTCCTTGTAGATAAATGCCAGAGGATCAAGAACTCTTTTCTTTGTTGTCAGAGGCTATCTCAGTTAATGTAGCACTTGTGTGCTGTTTTGTTACAGAGCTAACGAGCAGAGTTTCAGAGACACTTACAGCATTTATATGTATTGAAATTGAGCCAAAGGACTGTATGGTTTAAAGAAAGGAAAAAAAAAAAAAAAAAAAGTTGGACTTCATTGTCCTTTTCTACAGGTGTTAGCCTGAACGTGGAGATGGTTAGATTTTGCTTCAGGTAGTTCTTCGAGCTAAGAAACCTTGTGTGGACAAAACAAGAGCTGTTTTTTCCTTCCCTCCTGCGAACCCGATAAAGTAAAAAAGCTGGAGCTGCTTTGTGGTGGCTGGTGAGCCGTAGGCGGTTGCAAGTTTGCTGTGGGTGCTGAGGGCAGGCTCTCCCCTTAGCCACTGCTTGCATGCACGAGGTGATTGCTTTTGTGCTGTCCCATGCAGTGGTTTGAGGAGGAACTGCTAAAGCCCAGCAAGCTTGCTTTTTTCTTCCATCCCATTTAGCGTGGCCCATAGGCTCCTGCCCAGCTGCTCCTGCAAAACTGGACCAGTTTGGTGTTTCTACACCAAGGCCAGTGCCAGGGACTCCTCTAAGTTGGCGGGTGAATGGCACCTGTACTACTAAGGCTATAAAGCATGCTGGCAAAGCAGCCCTGGTGCACAAGGTACAGCAGGCAGCCTGTTGCTGCTGTGTTTTCTCTGTGCTTGCTCCTGAAGAGGGGTTGGGTTGAGAAAAAAAGAGTTACTCAAGCTGTTGTAGGGAAGTGAGGTGGGTATGTCGGACAGAGGCAGTTGCTACAGAAATTGCTTCAGAATTTACTGGATTCGAATGACTGGTAAAAACTTCTGCTTTCAGGACTCTGGTGTTAGGGGGATTACTTTCAAAAAAAAAAAAAAACCAACAAAACACACCAATAAACTTAGCATTAGTTTTTGGCTGTCTTTATTTCTAGCTTGGCCAGTGTTAACAAGTATGTCACTGTGCTTCTTTCCAATACTTGCTTATCTTGTGAGAGTCCTGTGAATCTTACTGAATTAATAGGCTTGAATCCTAGGTCATTTGCCCTGTTCTGGGAAGACAAATGACCATGAGCATGCCAGATCTGGGCTAAGTTGATGTGGAATAGCAAAATAAAAAAAAAAATCAATTTAAAACCCCTTGTTTTACGGTTGGCATACTGTGCGCTAATACCGATCCAGTTACTTTGGCCCACTTCAGCAGTAGTCAAGTATATTGGTAGTAGGTTGCAGCTTAGTCTGATTTCAGGCCAATTTACTCTGGAAGCCAAAGAGCAAAGCTTCTCCAGGAAGCAAAACTTAAAAACAACCCCAAAACCTCTCTTGCTGCTGTGTTAAAGTAAGTCTCCTTCACTGCTGGGGAGGCAAACAGTACAGCAGTAAAGAAAGGAATTAGAGAGATTCACAGACATCAAGTGTAGGACTGGATTATAAAGGACTATCAGGGATGTGCTGTGCTGCAGCTGTTCTGCATGGCGGGAAGGTATGGCAGAAAGTAGGCAGGTTCACAAGTTGTCCCAAAAGACTGTTTCCTGGTACTGTTGTTGAAGTAGTGGGCTAGATGATTTGCCCCAGCGGGGCACAACTTATATTCATAGCCAGGCTGGTGACCGATGTTACGGGGGTGCTATGGCGTGCTCAAAAAGCCATCTTGAAACACCCAATATTGGTGATGCTGGTGCGGTATATTCACCTTGAGTAGGGTAAATATTGCAGATCAACTTGTTTGCATTCGCCACTGGAGTCTGCATACCAGGGAGTAAAAATTTAACTGCAGCGTACCAGTTCAGAGCTGGTTGAGCTGGGGCCTGCGTGGAGGTAGGAGTAAACCAGGGGAGCAGACAAGAACTGTTAGCTGGCATGACAGCAAAGGGGGAGAAATGTGTGTGCAGCTCTGGGCTGTTCGTGTAACTGTACACTGAATGGTAGCGTACTTGCCCCAGTGTGAGCCTTGCTTGCAATTTTTCATTTCAAAGGCATACTTTAAAGATACTGGGCTTTTTTTTTTTTTGTCTCTGTCTAAAATGGTTGCGTTAGGCAGAATAATCCAGGATCAAATGCAGAAGTGCCTGCGTTCTCCAGTTTGTTTTCAAAATGATTCCTGAATTGTCTGTTTTTTAGCTTCTGTTGAGATGGAGGCTAATAACCTATGCACTGCTTCCAGCTAGTTCTGCTCTAAGAGTATTTATGGTATGCATCATGGCTGTTGCTTGCAGAAGAGGGGGGGAAAGTCACTTCTATTTCTTCTTTCAAGTGTGGATTGTTCTTCTAAAAGTGATGCGTTTGGAGAAAAACATAGCTTGAAAGTGTAAGGCTAGGATTGCCTGGAAGGTATGTGGCATGAAGATAGCAGAAAAATAGAAACTACCAGCAAGATCAAGCCTCATTCTGTTCTGTCCCGGATAGCCAAGTAAATAACTGTAGAACAAGCCCTCAGACAAAAGAGCTGGCTCAGCTTATGACACAGGGGCGGTGGGAATCCTGTCAGCACAAAACAACAAGGGAGTGGAGTTACTTGTCGGGGAGTTGCAGACCCGAAAGAAGAGCTTGGGGGGGGGGGGGGGGGGGGGGAGGGGGCGTGTGTGCTCAACTTGCTCACTCTTCAGACTTGCTTGAATCCCTTGCAAATCCATCACGGCTCCGACAGCCAAAGGCTCCAGCAGCCTTCGTCGAAAAGGGCGTTGTGGGCTGCCTGTCTTTGAAGAAAAATGAGTTTTTAATTCCGCGCGGTGAAAATGTTGCTTTTAGCAGATGGTTGGGTGTGGGTCCCCGTCCCGTGGGTTCTCGCATTGCTCGGCGATGTCTCTGGTTACCCGGGAGAGCTGTGTAGGAAAGGCAGGACCACAGCCCCCGTTTTGCTGGTGCTGCTTGCTCCTCTCCCACTCGAGGCTGGGGTGCTGCACTAGGATGAGCAGTTCTGTCAGGCTGTCACAACAGCACGCACACCAGTACGTGCATTCCTTCGTGGAATGTAAAAATAAAGCCAAGGTTTTCAGGCATCAGCTGATACTTAATGCCTTCTTAAATGCAGCAAGGTAAGTCTCCGTAAAGCAGCTGTCTGACTTTCAGAGAGTGGTTTGTGGTCTGCTTTTTGGGGGTGTCGCATAGTAGATTCTCAGAAATCACCAGTCACTCCTGAAAATCCTGACCTAAACTTTTACAAAGGTCATGGTGTTTATTAAGATAAGTCAGCTTAAAATAATTACTTTGCTTTTGCTCTAGGGTCTAGGAATGAGTGGCTGAGATTCCATAACCTTAAGTATGTGCCCCAAGTGGTGTGTGTATGAGGTATTGCTCAGGAGATAGTCATTAATCCAGAGGGGGTGAAGGTCCCAGGAATAAAAAAAGTTGCATTTCACACGTTAGGTTTTTTGCCTCCTAGTTATTTCAGATATCCAGGGCCCAATTCAAGGGTTGGATTTTTAATTCCTCATGTGGGCCACTGGGTATTTTTCTTTTTATGATGTAGTGAGAGGAGAACTCTTCATTAATAGCTGGTGTTAGATATTTGGTTTCTCTTTTACTGAAAGCTGTTTTCCGTAACAACAGATGTTAATTCCTAAGTTGCCAGTTGCTGCTTCTGTTGAAATTCATGGTTTAGGTTTGTTTTGATGAAACCTTCAGCCCTGTGACAGTCTGCTTTTGCCATAGCACCTAACTTGGTGTTCATGCTGATACGTAACTTACAGCATCGGTGGTTAGAGCAACAAATTTTTGTTTAATATACCAAAGAAAGTATGGGAGAGGAGAACCCAGGAACCGCTTGTGATGACTGTAGGCAGCAGCCTACAAACAACTCGTATGAGACATCAGAGAATTCCCCCAGATCTTAATCTCAAGAGGCAATTCCCTAGGCTTCATGAAGGCTGTGTTACATTGCAGAGACTGTGCTATATCTGGAGCAAAGGAGCAGAGCGAGGAGCTCATTTATATCCTGGGGAAGATATGGCTCATTTTAGGATTTGTTCGGGTGCTAAATTTATCTTTTGGAATAGTTGCAGCTTGTCTCCTTTGGTGCCAATGTAGAGAAATTCTAGCTAACACTGGAGAACAGTAGGTGGAAAGAGCTCGGATGTGTTGTATTCTTACACTTCTGTTTTTCTCACTTCAGGGTAAATCTGAGACTCTCATGTGGCAGTGAGAATTTCTCTTCCCACAGCCACATAACACTGAGCAAATCTTGTTGTCACATTTTAGTTAATTCCTCTGAGTATTTGTGAATAGGAGTCATTCACAGAGAGTCCCAAGTTTTCCTTAAGGATAAGGAAGCAGATTCCTGTTTTGCAAAGAATTGTGTTGATGCTGCAGTCACTAGGTCATGGGAGCACATAAAAGAAACTTAATAAAAGAAGTAATTAATCTGTTAGCTTCAGTCCATTCTTTTTCTTTCCTTCCTCATCCTCCCTGCCATTCCTGAAATCACTAAAATATTTTCAAGCCCCATCTTTGAAGCTTGTAGTTATAGAATTGAGCTCTGTTATTAGTAAGACTGGGAAGGGTTTATTCCAATTTCAGCAGAGCTTTACCAGGCAGCCTGTGCACGCAGTAATTATAACTTGGTTCTCCATGCTTGAGAACTTGCAGCTCAGGGCAGTAGTCCTGATCTTATCAGCGTTTTGTAGTACAACAGTTTTCTTTATAATAGCATCTGTTTCACTTCCTAAGGCTTAACTCTACCCACAAAAGGAATTTCTGTGGATTCTCTGATAATCCTGAAATTGCTGCCCCTGTACCTTTTCATTGACTCAGTGCTTTCAGTTAACCCATGGGGTAGGGGAGGGGCTTTCTTTTTCACTGCAGCATTTAGCCTAGTCCCTAAGTGGGTATTTCAGCAGATTTCTGGCCTAAAACCTCTGTCAAAACTGCAGGTCTGCAGTCAGGAGGTGCAGGATGATTTGGAGTTTCACGCCAGACTTTTTTTTTTTTTCTTCTTTTCTTTTGCATATTAAAGTTTCCAGCCAGTTCAGAATTTGCCATTTGAATACAACTTTGTAGTCGAGGCTTTAGCAGAGCCCCTCTCAAACACCTGCATGAAACTGGGGTGGGGAAGAAGGGAATGATCTGGCAAAGGAGCATTTTGAATTTCTCATCAATGTCCCTGTTTGCACACGAACTGCAATTTGTGCAGGCACAACTGGAGGAGGAGATGATGAGCTGCTGTTCTGTTTGCCTTAATACTTCGCTTTTTTTTTTTTTATTGAGCACAGTTTTGATTCTTTAGTCTCTCAGAGGGACAGATGTGTGAGGTGGTGATATCTGAGAGATAGATGTCCTGCAGAGAGGGGTTTAGGCTGCTTGTTTATAAGGTTTTTGTCCTCAAAAGAATGGACTGGACAAAGCAGCAAGTGTTTGTCATCTCCTTTTCTGTCTGCTTGGCAACTGAGGGTTAACTCTGGCTTTTGAATGTGGGATTGGAAACCAAAATTGCTCCGGACATCTGAGCTTCCCTCTAATAAGATATTCCAGGTGGTTAGGGAGTAATCCTAAAATAGCTCCAGATATAATTGCTTCTGAAGGCAGGCCCGCAGCCTCTCGGGGAGGGGGGGCTCTGATGGCCTCCAAGGTGTGTCTGCAGCATGGGGAAGGCTCCCTGGCTCGGTGGGCAGCCCTTCCCAACACCTCTGCCTTCCCCCTCGTGCTCGGCATCAGCGGGTAAAGCACAGCCTGTGCTGCTTTTCTGCAAGAAACCAGATAAATTCTTGCCCGTGGTAGCGCAAGAGCTGTTTGTCAAACGTCGGCAAATTCCCTTGATACAGACGGGTGGAGGGAGAGGCAGGACTCTCCCCAGAGAATGACCTGCCTCTCTGAACAGTGTTTTTTCCTTCCTGCTACTAATGCCTGACTTACACAAAGGTCTTTTAATGACTTGTGAGGATATATTGATTTCTCAGGTTCCTGCTGTTCATACGGAGGAGGGCTTCTCAGCATAGGGTAACTTTGTTTTCCTAGGAGGAATGGAAAGGAAGCTTGATACCAAAGCTCCTGCTGAGCTCTCTTGCTATGCAAAATGTAGTTTATTCTGGATGTGGAGCATCTTTCGCCTCAGCAGCTTCATGGGGCTCTTTACTGATTTACCTGTTCCGGTTGTGCTTGAGTCACTGCTCAGACTGCTGCCAATATTTGGTATCTTGGGTCGGTGCCAAGGCTACAACCAAAAGGTTTTGGTGAGCAGAATAGTCCCTCAAGATCAAAGCTGAGGCCTGGGAAAGAGCCTGTCGGTGCTTGTACTCTGTTCTCTGAATAAATAGGGCTTTATTCCCCGGCTGCTGAGCTGACATTTCATGCTAGCCTGAGACTTTGCTAACTCCACTACCCAAAACAAACCTGTGCTCTGTCCTCATGTCTCCACAGCCCATGTGTTGTTTCAGTGCACCCCTTGCTGATTTACACCACGGTGGCTGCTGCTTGCACGGAGATAGATGAGAAGCACTCTCTTTATCTCTTCCAATAGCTTAACGTGGGGTGTGGTAACGGGCTTAAAGCCTTTCCAGCTATTGCAGGAGGAAGTGCTAATACTGTCCACTGTCTCTCACCTCGGATCACTCTGTCAGGCCAGGTGATGTCCATCTCAGCCAATTTTGTGGACATATGGCTAAACACACTGATGCCTTCAGCTGGCTTTAAGCTCCTTTTCAGTAGCGAGGTGTGGGGGAGCATTACTTCTGTGCTCTTGAGCACCTCGGGCTGTAGGTACACAAAGTGGGGTGCATACACTCTGCTTATTCTCTGTATCAAACCTTAATCTCGTCATTCTCTTCTAATTATCATTTTTCTTCCAATAGAACAAGTAAAATAACTTCTAAAGAGTCTTCGATCCCATGGAAAGTTTTGTTCCTGGAAGTTTTACCAAGTTCAAACCCACTGGCAGCATTGTCTCCTTTAAGCCCTCTTCTCTTTCCTGTCCCTGTCCTCAAATGTAGCGGAATAAGCTCTCAGCAGGACCAAAATTCCTTATGAAAGCAAGTGGTTTGCTTCTTGGAGCACCCAGTTTAACTCCATGAGCAGTTTTGCCCTCTGGATTTATAACCACGTACAAACTTTGCAAGAAAGCCGCTCGGCCCTCTGCCAAATCACGTTGCCTTGAAGTTGAGGATGGGAAATAGCTGCTGCCTTCTGAAGAGACTGTCTCTTATTCTGACTGTTCACCTAGGTTTGTTGAGCTGAGTTCACCATCAGTGGGGTTTTAGGAGCAGCTGGATGTTTCCGTAATTAGCAGAAAAACTGTGTTTTTAATCTCTGCTAGCAAAGGATGCCCAGATGAATCCTCCTGTGAACAAAACCGGTCTTCAGATCTCTTCCTAGAGAGGGCTGGGAATTGATCTGCTGTAATAAACAGCTGACATAACAGAAGTGGCAATAATCCCCCATTAAATATCTTTCAGTTGATGGGACTCACTGGGTAATTGACTTTCCAGCAGGAATTACTGACTCAAACTAAATCAGCAGGCATTAGGGCAGCTCACTGCAGTGTTTTTTAAAGGGGGAAATGTAGCTTTGCCTGGCCTTGACAAGAGCCATTCATCTTTCTAATTCAATGTATGTGTCACAACCAGATGACTCCAGGATTTCAGATATTGGACCACGTCCCTAATTTGCATGCATTCTTTTTCTGGGCTGAAACCTCTGGTTATCTTCAGTGCTTTTCTATCTGTGTTAGGATGCTGTGTGTTTGTCAGGACAGGGTAGCCCAACCTGCCTTGATGGATGGACTTGGCTGTTCTCTTTCGTTGAGTGGCTCTGGAGCACTTGCTGTACTGAAACTTTATGAAGTTTATGGTTTAAAGGTGCTTCAGCAGTTTTTCAGTATCATTCTTCTGGTCTTGGTCCTGCTGTACAGCCAGAGGTTGCCTCTGCTGGATTCCAGCCCCGGTGGTAGTTTCAGGACGATGATTTACCAAGTAGAATAGGCCTAACTCGAGTAATCCTTTAAATGCTGAAAAAGAATGAACGTTAATCCAGCAAAGCTGAGCTTTCCATTTCTGTGGGGAAAATAGAGATCCAGAAGTGTCCAGGAGTAATGGCCCTGGGTTGGCAAGAAGCTTTTCAGTGGGGTTATTTCCCTCTTTCTTCAGCATACTCTGGATTTGGCTTGGTGAGTGAGTGGAGGGTGGACAGAAGGGCACTTCCAAGTGTGTTTGGTGTCACCTGGTGAACAGAAAGGAAGGATGCCTGGGAAGCACCCACACCTTTTCCTAGGGGCTCTAGGATGTGCTCTTGGTAAAAAGATGGACACGGAGAGCAAAAGCAGTACCTCTGTTGAGGTGTTGGACCTTGTTACAGCGAAGCATGTGCTACAGGGGGGATTAGCAAACTTCTGTTTAGCAGATGAAGGCAGGCAGCTGTTGAAGGTGTTGAGCACTTTCCTCTAGAATGGTTTTCCCTGGCATCAAGACAACTTTTTCTGAGATACGTGTTTCTGTGGGAAAAAAATCTTAGAGCTCAAAAACTTCCCCCTACCTTCAGTAGTTGCCTGGAAGGTGAAATGGCACTTCCCATTTTGGGCTGAGTGTTGGAGATTCCAGGAAAGTGTGCTGTGACGAATGCACAAATGTCCCCCATCTTTCTAGTTGTCTTGGTCTAAGCCAGCAGCTTCTTCTCCGTGTGTTTGTGCCCAAAAATGCACATTTGCAATCTTTATGGAATTGTCTGCAAAGTCTTTCCCTGGCGATCCTTTCACCCTTTCATTTTTCTCTCCCTAGAACGGCAACGTGACCTGGAGTGATGAAGGTGATGGGTGCAGAGGAAGAGAAATTTCACGAGACTTTGCCAAGGTCAGTCTGATCGTAGGGAAGGGGTAACTTTGAGGAATTCTTCCCCTGATCTGTGACAGAGGGTGACTACATTGTCCTCGCTATTCCTCTGTAGTGAATTTGTAAGAAAACTGCTTTGTCTTGCAGCCCTCCGCCTACAAACCTGCTATTTTGTTGCCTTCAGTCACCAGAATATAGTTTGAACAAAGACTTAATAACCAGACTTTTGACATTTAAAATCTTAGTCAATGCTTTCTCCAGCTGGGAGAAGAGTATTTTGTTTCTGGAACCTGATTAGCCATGTGATAGTGGATTTGAATGTGGCAGCTGTGTGTCACATCAGTCAGAGGAATTCATTTTAAACTAAGCTGGCCCTTTCTGAAAGGGTGCAGCTAATTGCTCTGCAAATACTGGTGTGTTTTCTTCCCAGAGCTCAGTGTGTGAGAAAGCACAGAGCTTCACAAGAAAATGAGCCCAAAAAGTCCCTCTTCTTTTGGACTAGATGAATACCAAGTAGCTAGCAGCACCTATGGAGAGACTGAAATACCTATTTCCCAATGAATCATTGCTTTTCCGTCGAGCTGCTCCACAAGCGTAGCTACAACCAGCAAAAAAATTCCCTGGAGGGATGCAGGATTCTTCCTCAATGCAAACAAGAGAAGGAATTGAATTCTTTGTGTACAGCGTTGTCTTCTGTCTTATTCTATATCCTCCTGCATCATAGTGAGAGATTGACTTGAGCCCTTTCAGCCCGTCAGTTTGTGGCCTCACAGGATTCTTGATAGGTGAAAATTAGATTCTTCTGTTCGAGGTAGTTGTAAGATGACACTCATGCCTGTCCCTCCTGAAAAAAATCAGTGGATAATACCAGTATACAGTGCCGCCTCTTTGGAATAAGCTGCCTGTGGAACTTTCTTTTAAATGCTTGGGGTTTTAAGCCTTTTGGTAAAATGATTTCTGCAACAAATTGGTTCCAGGCTGATTTCTGATATTTTTGAAGGCTTTTTGGCTTATTTTAGAGGAGCCTTTCCTGCCAGGCAGTAGTAGTTACAGGAAAGCTCTACCCTTTCATCTATTCCTTCAAGGGACTTGGAGTTTGTCACTTACTTGACAATCCCTGAAGGAGGAAATCATGAGGCTCAGAGAAGCTGCAGAGAACTTTACCTCCCTGGTGCCTCAAAGGTGTGAACCACTCATCTGCCCTGGACCTCCATCACCTTCCTTTTGGTTGTCTCATCTTTCTTTCCAGCTTGTCTTAATAGTTTCTCTCCCCTTTGCTTTCAGGTGGTTTCAAACCCTGCTCTGTAGCAGTGCTGTTAACTGAGTTGAATCCTGTTCCCTTCAGGGTGCGGGTCTCTACCCTGCCCGGATGAGTTACTGAGGGGGGGCCGAGCAAGGCAAGCCGTAACGAGGGTCCCTAAACTATCACTGCAGCCTTGTCTACCAAATTGCTCAGGAATCCTTCCTTGTTTTGCCTCTTTGCCTGTGGCTGCCTTTCACCCCTCCGTTGCAAACACCAGATCACCTACTGGAAGAATCTCATATTGTTAATTTTTCTGTCTCATTGTGAATTGTGCCTTCACTTTTATTTTTTCCCCCAGCTCTATGAACTGGATAGTGACCCTGAACGGAAAGAGTTCCTGGATGACCTCTTCATCTTTATGCAGAAGAGGGGTGAGTGAGCATTTATTTGAACTCCTTAGGGTCAAATGGGGCAGAAGGGTGCTGCTGCTGTTCGAGCTCTTCCCTCCTGAGTTTGAAAGAGCAAATCCAGCCCTTGAACTTGCAGATCTGGCGGAAGAGCCGTGGTAAGACTTGACATATTTGCCTTGGGAGATAAGGAGTGCAGTAGGAAAGAACTCTGCCCTGTGATTTAATTTCACAGACCCTATTTCTTTACCTTCCTACCTAATACTGATGATGTCCTTGCACTGAAGAGCCCAAGAAGCCTGGTTCCCCAAAGATTTTTGAAACAAGGCTGAGCACCACCCGGGATTCTCTGGTCCTCCCCTTCAGTTGGCATGGTCACACATCTCATGTTTGATTTCAATGGCATGTGGAAGCCGAGTGTGAATGCCTTCACAGTCTGCCTAGAGTAGTGGTATGCAATCTGGGGACTGGGAAAATAGACACCAAGCCACATTTTTCCTGTAGATTCACAATGTGTCAGCTTTCCGTTTAGTAATTTTGTGTAGCCGAGTGCAGAAGCTCACAGTTTCTCACATTCCTCCCCGTGGTGTCAGCAACTTGCGTCTCTCCTTGCTACAGGAGTGGTGATGCATGTGTGAAGTAGCTCAGCTGCAATGTCACAAAAGTCTCTTTCTGTCCCCTAGTTATCAAAGTTCAGTTCCTTCACTGCAAACTATTCATAATTAAAATGTACATATATGTGGTGTTGTATAAAACATACATCGCTGAACATCTGTGGTAAAACCTTGGTGGTGCTCTTCCTTTACCCCTCCAAGCATGCTAGGCCAGGCAGACTCTTCCAACAAAGATATTTCTGACAAAAAGTGTTAAATTGTGTGATAGACCTTTTCATTGTTTCAAAAAAGTCTGCTTGAATGTAGGTGTGAAGAGCAGACATAAAAAGGATCCTTTGCTCCTCAATGGCATAATGCTCTCTGAGCGTGGTGGACCAAACAAGCCAGGTTGTACTCATTTGGAAGGGGGCTGCCTTAGTGTCACCTGCAATATTGTGCCTTGAGAGTCTAATAAAGCATAAAGATGCAACATCTCAGTTTCACCTATTTGAAAATCATTTGTTCGCTGGGTTGGAGCGAGAGTCTTATTTTCAGTTGTCTTTTGGACCCTGCATCTTCAGGTGCGTCCCCCTCGGTGGCTAAGTAGATCACAAGCAAAGAAAAGGCTATCCTACTTCAGTTGCCTTCATATCCATGTCCATTTTCCCTGGCATGGCTAGAGTTGACAGCCGACCAGTGTGAATTTTCATCCTCCAGCAGTTTTGAGGTTATGCTTCCAAGTCAATTAAAAATTAGAGCCAGGTTTTGCTGATATTTTTGGCTTTTGTGTGCAGAGGCATAACCGAGCTTAATTAGTTTACTTGCAAATGTTAACCTGAGCTCACATGTTAATGTAAGGGCTGGGATGACTGACAGACAAGACAATAATCTGAAGGGTGTGATTGGCAGCAATAGAAACCTCCAGATACCTAGAGAGAAATCTGCTTAATACTTCAGTGTCTCCTTCCTGTTACCTTTTAATTATTTATAATTGACATGTTCCCGGCACAGGGGCTGAGCTGATCACCAGCTGCTTGCTGTAGGAGTTTAGCTTTTAATCATCTGAGTATTTCCCAGTGTATTTGTTTTCTGGAGACTCACTTGTTTTCTTGGTTGCTGGAAGGCTGAAAATGAAATATAAGAGCCCAGCACCCACAGGAGAGAGATGCCATGAACTGACAGCCCTTTGCCAGAGAGGCTGGAAGTGTTTGGCCCTGGTCTGAGGAACTGGCTAGATGGCAGGGTACAAGCAGTTGTGGGCTTGCTTTATATTTTGGCACCCCCAAAAGAGGGAGGGCTAAATTCCTTCAGGTTGGTAGGAGAACTGAACAGCATAAGTGGAGTTATAGGAAGCAGCTTCTCTTGTGTCATGAATCTGAGCTGCTTTGTCTTACTGCAGAGGACATCTTTTGACTTGGCATGGTTTTTGGGAAGCTGTACTGTCCACTTTTCCCATGTCTGCTCTCCCCAGCATTATCTACAGCAGGGCTTTGGTTTTCTAGTGAGCAGATGGACTTGCTGACTGTGTCCTATTGTGGGATCTTCAAAAATCTGGGAGCTTCTACAGCAGAGTTACCGTAGGACAGTGCTCAGGCTTTCACTTCTCCTCCCCTTGCTTTACGTGCCAAACAAGGCTGAACAGCTGCCTTGTTCTGAAAGGGTCCCCAAAAGATGGATACAACTGAGGCCTCATTGCACCTGAGAGCAAAGTGCTGTGTTTCTTAGCTAGTATGTGTGAAGAGCTGGTTAATTTGCACCTTGTGTCTGAGGGCAATGGAAAGCAGCTCTGCTAATAAACATTGCTGGTGTAAAGATGGGGATTTTGCCGTTGTCCAGGAGGAGCCAGAGAAGTGCTGGCCCTTGTTAAGGGCTGATGGATTTGGGGCACAGATTGCTAACTGTGAACCAAAAAAAAAAAAGTGAAAGATAAATGATAGATTTCACAGGAGCTACTGCGTGGTTGGAAGGATGAAAAGGTTTGGTTGTTGGTGCTGCTGTTAGGAATGTACCTAGAAATGTGAAGCCATGAAACAGGCTTAATGCAGATCAAATGTGCAGGTCTCATCTGCCTCTGAGCACAGCAGGTTGTCACTGAATGACCACAGCTGCAAGTGATAAAATGGCCCTTCAGTGGCAATAATGATGGAAGAGGGAGATGAGAGGAAAGCTGTAACTCTTCCTTTGTTGGATGTTTTATTCCTCGTATGTGTTTAGGTGAATGGGTCCCACCATGGCTGTGATTGAAGGGGCAGATGGGGAGAGGAGGGGAGACCAGCCGATGAGAGCAATTAGTGTGCAGGACTAGCTTCGAACCAGGCCTACCACAGGACCGACCTGACACAGCTCAGCAGGGATGGTGCCAGTTTGCTGTGTTACCACCTTCCCTTTTCTCAGCTCTTCCGCAGCCTCAAGCCAAAGGTTGCCTTTTCTGGGGCTGAGCAGGGATAAGCAGCTTCAGCAGTGGCTTCTCTCCACCTCCACTGCTGATCTCGCGTGTTGTGACAAGTTGAGTCTTGAGGTCTGTTTTCTCAGAAGCTGTATTTTTAACGTCCTGCTGCATGAGGGGCTGCTCTGTGGGCAAGTTTGTGGTTCAGGGCATTTTTACGGGCACGGGCTGAGGCTTCTCTGCTAGTGCACTGTGGAATGGGTTGCGTTGCAGGCGCGTAGACTGAAATTGTTCTGCCTGCCACTGAGGACCCTACCTGCAGGAGCAGTTTTCTAAGTGCCCAGGCTAGAGCTGCATCCACTACAATGACTTCAGGGTAATCTTGTGTTCCCCCATCTTTGGTATTACTGAAAAGAATTTTATTACAGAAATGTACGTGGCCAGATGGGCAAGTTCATTTACTCAAATCAGACTCAGTCTTGGAGATGATGACATCTTCCACTTCTTTTGAGGGCTTTCTCACCCTGTGACCATACCCTGAAGCTAAATGTTGTCTTCCTCTGTGTTTGATAGAAGGCATAGATATGATGAGTAGTAGAAAAATGTAGCTGTTAGCCCTGTAGCATGTACTGGGTAGCATAGCTAGACTGCTTTTTGCCCCCAGATAATGAAGGAGTGTTAGTGGCATGACTCTTATAGCTGGTCAGGCGGCCACCAGTAATTGAGCTGACTGTATTCCAGTAGTTGGAATGCAGGAGAGAGTTGGAGTAGTGGGACAGTTTCATCCCCTGGAAGGATCAGCAGTGTTTGTGCAAGACATTCCTCTTGAGAAAAGGTTTGATGGGGAAGAGATCTAACTGCGTGCTATGGTGTATTAGGAAAGGCTCCCTTTCAAGGGAAGCTGTTTTGTTCATTTTAAGTACTGCCTTTGTGAAGACCTCATAAAACGTCTCCAATTGTACAGCTCTACTAATTTTGTTCAAGGTTTCTGTGTGACCTTGGTTTTCCCAGATGGCTTGACCATTCTGTTTTTTTATGTGTATATACATAGAAGGGGCTTTGTAAGTCTGACCGTGTGGTTTTAATGTTTTCCTGCTGTTGTATGCTGTCTGCACATTTTAGATGTGGAAATACAACGAATCCAGGGTATTGACAAAAGCATTTACTGATGGATTCTTTTATCTATAGGCCAAGTGGTGTTTATGAAATGTTTGTTCAGGGAATACACTTCTACTGATTCAATTTTGCAGTTTTTTTTTTCTTTTGATCCTCTGGAGATATTTTTGAATCTGAATTAAGCAATGTAGTTCTCTAAAAGAGACATCAATAGACATAAATTCTCAGCACCCTTTGCTCGTGCTACCAGGTAATGCTGAGCCACAACAGATGCTTCCCTAAATATCAGATGGTGTTCTGCAGTGGAAAAGTCTCACTTGAGACACTGCAGAGGTCCCTTCTGGATGGTCCAGATCCACCAGGCAAAGTCCTCTGCCCTGTTAGACCCTGGGATTTATATGCAGCTACATCTCTGCCTGCTGTCCCTCCTTTAAAGAGCCTCTTCTTTGGGCAACTCTTCTGACTTAGCCTCAGGAAAAATGCTGACTAGTGTCTTCTGCAAACGATAAGCAGTGGGGAATCGGCGAAATATTTTAGGTTTTTATATTGTTAGAAAGAATGAAAAGTACGACTTTTCCTTAAGTTCTAGGGGGAACTGGCGTTCTGGTTTCCATTCCTCTGTATTCTTTACATAGTTTGAGCCTTTCAGAACAGGGAGCAGAGAATGCACTGCTCCATGTACTTAAACACTTTGAAGTGATGCTAGAATAAAAAACAGGTGCAAAGCCAAGTGCTTGGGATCTCCAAGCAACTTGAATCCAGCTCCTCTGGGGGTGTAGAGTCCTGTACCTGAGGCCAGGTTCTCTGTAGCATCCAGAAAGCTGTCACAGGGGATGTCTTGCCCATCAGCTGTAGGTGCCAGGGGACTAAAAGTCCCCACCAGATACATAAGCTGATATTTTGGGGGAATTTACCCAGGAAAATTTGCA